ATAGAATGAGAGTGGCAGGAAGTGAGAAGATGGTGTTCATGCCATCTGAGAAAGGGACATTAGGGCTGAGAAGTGGATGCGAAAACTGCCATGCTATTTCCAACCAGAGGGAACCACAGGCACAGGTCCTGAAATGGGATGTCTGAGGAACAGAGAGCTGGCCAGTGAGAATAAATGGGGAGACAGTAGCAGATGAAGTCAGAAGATAGGTACAAAGTAGGTACCCATGGATCACATTCAGCCCACCTGGTGTTTGAGATGTCACTAAAAACTAAAACAACGTTTGCAACTGCTCTTGAAAATGAAAAAAAAAGAAAACCCACACAGACAAAACTTGGCCATCCAGGGCACTATTCCTGAATGATAGTGATTTGTTTCAACATAGAGCCGTTACGCTCTCTTGTCCCCTCTTATCCCCCTTTAATGGGAATGTGGTCATCAGTTCATAAGTAGACATTTGAATTAGGGATTGCTGAGTGCTACGTAGGCTTCACGACAGCCTGTATTCTGCCTCCCGCCCACCTAAATGTGATGGAAGAATATAATGAAGGGTTTTAAGTGACAGAGTGACTTGATCTAAATTTTTAAAAGATCACTCTGACTACTTTGTTGGTAACAGATTGTGGCTAGGGACGGGGAAATGGACAAGTTAATGTGAGATGCTGGTGGCTAGGACCAGTGGAGACAGAAAGGAGTGGACAGATTCTGGGCATATTTAGAAGTAGAGCAGCCAGGACTTAACTAATGCATTAGATTTGGGACTAAGAAAAGGGAATGGAGCATGACTCCTAGGAGTAAGGTTAAGTCTGGGGCTAAATTGGGAGTCGTCAGTATATAGGTGGTATTTAAACCCGTGAGTATGGATGAGATCACCGAGGGAGGAAAGGTAGAAAATACAATGCAGTTTCGGAATTTTCTTTTTCCCTGTTCAAATGTAAAGTTTCTAAATTTCTGTTATCATACAGGCTATAGACTCTTAGTATTAAAAAGCAATCTAAGGTCATCTTTCTAGTCACCATTCCTACCCATATATTTACTCAAATCCCACCTCATACAACATCAGCTGGGATGCTAGCTAATTGGTGCATCATTAACAGGAAACATACTGCTTCCATTAAGGCTTTCCATTGTTTTTTCCCTCATATCAAACAGGTAGGTAAGTCTCTCTTTTTCTCTCTCCAAACAGGGACAATATAGAGAGTGAAAGGGGACACTATCATAATTACACTAAGACTTCCCTGGGCAAACCTTGCAAGCAAAAGTAATAATACTTTAGCTATCTCTGTCTCCAGATAGGGAACTATAAAAATCTTGAAAAGGTGAGATGCCATTTGACTCATGGTAAAATTAGGGATTTAGAGTTAAAAGAAATCTCAAGAAAACCATCTGCTCTATTTCCCTCATTTTAAAGAGGAAATTAAGGGGCACTGAATTATTGGCCTATGATCAAGTTAGGAAGTTAGTAGCATGGGGCAGGGAAAGACCAGATACTATTAGAAATATTTTTATAGCACTTAATATTTTAAACCTCTTCACATGTCATTTGACTCTTACCACACCCTGTGAGGTATTATCATTTACAGTAAAGCAAACTAAGGTTCAGAGAGATGACTTTCCCAAGATCACTAACCATTAAAAGCTAGAATGGAAACTTGAACCTATGTTTTCTCTTGCCAATTCCCTTGTTCTTTCTGTTACTCCATACTAATCTAAAGATTATTACTATTAAAGGTTTTAGGTCTAAATTATATTTTTTCCTGCAATTTTAATTCCACAGCCTATTATTTTGTTCCCTGGGATGTAAAAAGTAGTCATTACTTCCATCATTAAATGAAAGCGTTTTGTAGATTGTAAAGCACTGGGCAAATGTACATTTGAAGGCTAGTTAGGAAATCAGCACTTTTCTTCTCCAAGTTAGAGGAACTGTATTAAATTGGTAAGTGGGTGAGAGGATTATCTTTGTAGCATTTATAATAATTCTAATATATTGTTGGCTGAATTATGGGGTTCTCTAAAAAGAGAACAAGAGACTGGAAGAAATCCTTGGGACTAATTCTTATAGTTTGGGAACATTGGTGGTATTTGGTCTAACGCCAAAGCCTATTTGACCCAACTCAAAGGTATAAAGGAGCTCTCCAATGTGTGGAGGATTAGGAAGGATCTAGTAACTCCTGTAGCTGTTTACATGGACCTCAGATTTAACAAGGATTCATTTGATTTTGGTCAGGGCCCCATCACTCAAGCATTGGGAGATTTTTGAGCCTTTTGGGCTTCCTAAAAACTCAATGGGGTTTATGTGTGTAGTAACATACCTGACAGTACTTAAGCTCTTCAGCTGTGTTACAGTTGCGCAACCACCTCAGGAATACTCAATTGTTAACTTAGAGAAAGTTCCAACTCTTTAGAGCATGGCAGTCGAGGCCCTCCATAATGGTTCATAATCAACCTTTTCAGTAACTCCCATTGTCAGGAATGAACACTGCTCTAGTTAAATCATTCTGCCCACTACCTTCTAAGCATGTTTATTTTTTCACCTGTCTACCCTTCTCTATTCTTTTAAAAAATATTTTTATTGATTTCAGAGAGAGGAAGGGAGAGGGAGAGATAGAAACAACGATGAGAATCACTGATTGGCTGCCTCAGGCACACCCCCTACTAGGGATAGAGCCGACAACCTGGGCATGTGCACACTGGGAATACAACGGTGATCTCCTGGTTCAGTGTAGATGCTCAACCACTGAGCCACCCTGCCTGGCTATACCTTTCTCTTTAAATCTGCAGTTCTTTATGGTAGCCATTAGTCACATGGGGCTAATGAGTACTTGAAATGTGGCCAGTCTAAACTGAGATGTGTTGTTAGACACACCCAGATTTCAAAAATGTAGAACCCCCAAAATGTAAATTATTTCAATAAAATTTAAATATTGATTACATATTGAAACGTATTTTGGCTATATTGGATTAAATTCATTAAAAATAATTTCACATTTCTTTCTACTTTTTCATGTGGTTACTAGAAAATTTAAAAAATGTATGTGGCTTGCATTTTATTTTTAAATGGACAGTGTTTCTTTAGATCACTGGCCTATCCTCTTAAGCCAGCAGAGAAGTGGACCAACCATTCAAGCCCATCTTTGTACTTTCTCATCTTCTGAAATAATAAAAGCAAAGACTTTCTGCCAAAGGCAGCAAGACAATTAATATTCTCAATAATTCTTAATATCAGATAACTTCTTTTAGGCATCCACACTAAAAAATAAACCCCAAACGCTTCAATTTTATCTTTATCTCTCCTGTTTTTCTTCCACTTCTAGTCACTAAAAATGTTAGCTCTTCCTAGGTAATTCTGTCAATTCTATTCCTTTTCTCTCAATCCATACTAATCAAAGTCTTGGTTACCCTGCTTTTAAAATCTAGTTTCCAAGTAGTCTACGAGCTTCCTTTTCCCCTATGTTCATTCCATTCTATATAGAATATATATTCCCTACTGTATACAACAATATAGTATATGCTGCAACTAAAGTCTTCTTCCATAACAGTTTTTATCAGATACAATTTTTTGCTCAAAAACTTCCACTTTCCCCCCATGGCCTACTGGAATAATTCTTTCATCTAGCACTCAAGGCTTTTTCAAACCTTATCTTTTGGTACTCTCCTCTATAAAACCTGGGCTTTAGGGAAACTAGACTGAGTTTATGTAAAGCACTTAGAATCCTGCCTCACCTATATTGTAAGAACTATATAAGCCTTGGTTATTATTATTACTACATACTTTTACTTGAATATGCTGTATGCATTGCTATCTCCAGAGCACTAATTCCTTTTTCCTATTTGAATACTCTATCTCCAAAGGGAGAAGGAATGATTTAAACTAACAATGAATAGCACAAGCAAACTGTTACTCCTGGAGAAAACTTATACAGCAGGTCCTTGAATAACGTTTTGTTTGTTCAACATCCTTTCATTATTAACGCTGATGAAATGCCATAGGAATTTAACTCGTTTATATCAATTACCTATGGTAAAATTGGTTTCACTGTAAGCAGTTTTGCTGCAGTTCCAAGAACCTATCAACAGTGAGGACTTACTGTATATTCTTCCTATAATAGATAGACCCAGTTACTCTGAACCCCAATTTGCCACAAAATGTAATAAAATTTAAGACTGGATGGAACATAAATGAAAGGTAGTATTTCTTTTATACAATAGTGAATTTATGGAACGTGTTATTTTAAAAATAAAAAACTTGAAAAAATATAAACTTTCTGGATTTAGGGCAATGGCTCTCCGACTTTAGTGTAATTAGAATAACCTGGGAAGCTTACTAATTCAGATGCCTGCGCCTCACTCCAGATTTATTGAATCTAATAGTAGGGCCCAGGCACATGAAGTTTTAAAAAGCTTCATAGTTGACTCCTGTGCATTTTTTTAAAGGCTTTGTAGGTGATCTTCGCGTGCACCTACATCCAAGAACATTGGTTTAATCGAGAGAAAGTTTTGGTTAAAGAGGCTGATCACGTTTGGCATGCATTTTTCACCATGTTCTTCTACATGTTTCACCATGTTTTCCTATGGTTTTGAAACAGAAACAGAATACAGTGGTACCTCGGTTTTCTAATGTACTCCGTTCCGGAAGACTGTTTGAGTTCTGAAACGTTTGAAAACACCGAGGGATCAACAGCCGACAGCTAGGCCTCAGGATCTTGACCTCCGAGGCATGTTTGAAACTGAAGTATTTACTTCTAGGTTTATGGCATTCGTAAACCAAAATGTTCGTGAATGGAAACGTTCAAAAACCGAGGTACCACTGTACACAGAACTGATTAGCTCTGAATGACTTATGAATCTGAGTAGTGTTCTTAAAAACAAAATCCCAAAGCTCCCCCACACTCTTGAGTTTGATCTAGGAAGTCAGAAAAGAAAAAGGCATATACATCCCAATATACTTGGTATTCATCTAAAAGCTTGTCAGTCTTCTTAATTTATAAATTTCAAAACAATTATTTAAGTAAATATGTATTTAGTTATGTACAATATTTACAGCTTACAGATTTTCCAACCCAAAATTATACATTGAAACCTGTAAATATGTGAAAAAGTTGGCATTTTAATATATAATACTTAAAAAATTTCAAAACAACTTTATCTCAAAAATATCTTACACCAGTTTTCCAAAGTGCTGTTTTCACAGGCTCATATTGTACCACAATAACCTAGGCAGGTTCTCAAACCTCCAGGTACGGAGTAACCGACATCATACGGAGACAATCCTTTTCATACAATCACAGAAGGTTTTAGAAATACTGGGTCCTTGAAACCCTATAACAAAGCCCCTTTCACCCTCCAATCCTGAGACAGCAAATCCTGCAGTTCTCCTTCATCGTCGCTGTCAACATTCTCCTCTTCCTTTTTCTGCAGTTCTTTTATGGTCAGGACTTCTTTAAGTTTATTTTTTATTTCATCCTGGCGATTCCGCAGTTTTTCCACCCGACGGTAACACTCTATCTGCTCGTCAATCTCCCCAATCTGCCGGTCCAACCGTCCCTCCTCATCCTCTTCAGCAACTATGGCTTCGGAAATAGTGTTGACCTGCCTCATGGCTTTTTGAAATTCGTCCCACTCTTTGTCCATCTGATCCTTTGGGGCATCAACCTTTCGTACCCTCGCATCTATCTCAGGGTCGTCAAAAAAACCTTCCGGTAATGCTTCCGCAGTGTTTTCTTTCCTTTCCACTATTTTTTCATGTATTTCTGCTTTCTCAATGGACCCTGAATGAGGAATTAATGGGGCCTTGGGAGGATTTGTACTCGGGAAATCGCCTGGCAGCACACTACCTGTTGCCTCCCGCGAGGAGGAAAGTGAGTGTTCCTTGCCCGGTGTGTCCGGCGGCTGCTTGCTGGCGTCCCCCTCTTGTCTTTTTCCTCCCTCCTCCTCCTCCTCCTCCTCATCTTCATAATCAGGGAGTAAACCAAGTCCCGAAGCCTTACCAGGGGTCGCTCTAGTGCACTCCTTCCCTGCTTTGTCAACGTTGGTGAGCAAAGCGGACGTGGAGGGCTGTACGTGAGGCACCTGGGAGGCCTTCGCTCTTTTGGCATCGTGACTATCTGCGTCCGGCGCCTTCCTCTTGGCGGACTGAGGCACTGAGCTGGCAGACGGCCCCTGGGTGGCTTCTTTCGCGCCTTTCAGCTCGGCCACTTTCTCCCGGTGCTGCTTTCCCAGGACGTGAGTCTGCCACAGGAGCTCGCTCTTAACCGGGGTGTTACACAGGGCACAACTCAGCTGCCCCAAACGGTTGTACTTCGCAAATGGAGATTCTATACGTTTCCTGTTGGTGCTCAGACGCTGCTTCTCCTTCATCAACCGCCGCAGTTCATCCTGACTCACCACTCGCTTTCCGGCCGAAGGCCGAGCCGAGGCGGAGGACGCCATCTTTGCGACCCGACCCCAGGCGACTCTGACTTCCGTCTCGGCGAGGCCTGATAACGTCACTTCCTGGCCGGGCGGGGATTGGCTGAGGCTCCCGAGCGTGAACCTTGGCGCCGGGTTTTACCTCAGAATCGCGGTTCGGGCTGATTTTGCGGGTCAGGTGGTCCCTCAATGGTCCCGCTATGGCTGCGATAAAGGCGATAAACTCCAAGGCTGAGGTGGCGCGGGCCCACGCGGCCTTGGCGGTCAATATATGCGCCGCCCGAGGGTTGCAGGATGTCCTGCGGACCAACTTGGGTCCCAAAGGCACCATGAAAATGTGAGACGGCCGTTGGAGCGGCGGTTAGGGTGTCGGGGCGCGCTGTAAGGCAAACGTTTCGCGAAGAGGTTGAAGCCAAGTGGACACACTTGTGGGCCTGGCTTCCCCCATTCTCATTCCTGCCCTGAGGTCATCTCTACCCGGTGGGGGAGTAGGAGAAAAACCTCCCCGAGGAAAAGGCCCCACGGGTGAAGCTGTGATTCCCTATCCCGCCCCACGAACTTTTAGTTAACATCGATGTGCAATTTGAAAATTCATTTAGTGTTTCCCATGAAACGTAAGCCATCGAACGCCCCTGCTCCTTGGGACTATACGCCTGTATGCCCTTCGTTTTGGTTTTGTCCGGCAGAGTGGGGTGGAGAAGGCACGGGCTTTGGAGCCTGGCAGGCATGGGTTCAAATCCAAGTTTCTCCTTCGGCTGTGAGTCCTTAGGCAAGTTACTTGGGCGCTCTGTGCCTAGAGTTCTTCATATCTGTTCATCCTTTCAGCCTGTTATTTATTTAGCACCATTTTCTTTAGGAGAGAGAGAAGGAAGGAGACTCGTGAGAGCAAAAGGGTGTAAGAAGAGACATACAGCCTCAGGAATGCGCAGAATAAATTAACAGTAAAAGAGGGTGCTTATTATATCCTTAATGGGAGGTTGAGAACAGAGATGACCAAGATAAAGTTTCAGTTATTAAGGTGATTTGGTAGAAACGACTATGACATATATTCTATATAATACGTATTATATAGTGTGGCATGCATTATATTTTTAATCATATGTGATTATACTGAGGAAAGGGACTAATTATTATGGGAGAAGGAAAAGACTCAAGTAATGGATGGTTTTTGATCAGAGTCTTGAAGGATGAGTTGGAGTTCACCAGATGGAGAAGTGAGTAAAAGCCGTCTAGATAGAGCAACTTCAGGAACAAGAAAGCTGGTTGGTATAAATCCAACAGAAGCAACTTGTGCAAATGTGATGTATGAAGGGGACCACAAGATTTACCCACAAGATTTCATTTTGTGGATGAGACATTTAATAAAATAGATAACAAGCCAGATCGGGAAGGGCCAACTATGTCATTGCTAAATAGTTTGGATTTTTCCTTAAAGGGATGGAGAACATGAAAACCACTGAAGGATTTTTGATCAGTGAACTGAGTCATACTATCTTACAGAAAGATAAATGGAGGGTACATTCAGATTCAGAGATATATGGATGCTAAACAGTCCAGACTACAGATGGTGATGACGACAGTGGAAATGGAGAGGAGGGAGTAGTTTGTAGAGGCTTTTAAGTTGTAGAGTTGACAGAATTTGATGATCTAATAAATATGAGGGACAAGGGAAGAAACTAAATTGAGTGAATGAATGGTAACGTTTCACCAAAATAACAAACCTGCAGGAAATTCACAAACTTGTGGCTTGTAGACTTCCAAGTACTCTTGACCAAACCACCATCATAACTCACCAGCTACACTTAATCCTTAAACTTGTAAATTGTCCATTTGGGATGAAATCACCATAGCAGTCCCTCTGGGGAAAAGTAATTCTGTGGACTGCAAAGGGGGTACTTACCGTGGTGTCTCCCCAAGGTACGGTGGAAGTTTTCCAAGCCCAGTTCCCTAGACTAAGGATAGTGGAGTGGCAAGCACTGAGTCTTGCTTGACTCTTACCATATGAAGTTAATAACATCACTGTTTTCTGAACAGGCTTGTTTCTGGTGCAGGTGATATCAAACTCACCAAAGATGGCAATGTGCTGCTTCATGAGATGGTGAGCTGATGCTGCTGATTTTAATAAACCTTAGTAAGCCTTAATTGAGAGCGTAATACAATTTCTGTATCTTTAAACCAAGGCTGTCAGCTAAATGTTGCAATTATGGGATATACTGGTTGGATTAAACCTCAATAAAAATGTTTTTTGGCTGTTTTCAAATCTTTGTATAGTCTAAGTAATAGCATAGGGATGCTTCCAAATTAGTTGCATCTTTTAAAGGCACTGCATTATGTTCTTTGTAATCATGGAAAAGTAAAAAGGCCGTTGCAGTTTTAGTAAATATATTCATCTTCAAGATTGAAGGACTTAGTCTAGTTTTGGAAACAGTGCATTCTGAAGCAAAGACTTTTATAAAATGTTCAAATCTCATTAGTTCTCAACTTTTAACTTTTGGTCTTGACATTTATTAAGTACTGATAATACAAAACTTGTGAACTTGTAGAACTGATTTTAGCACTGGCCCTTAGGTTATATTGTTTTTGGTGGACTATTTCTTGATTTCATTCTCTTTTTTTAAATCTGTTGTTTGCTTTTTCCAGCAAATTCAACACCCAACAGCTTCCTTGATAGCAAAAGTAGCAACAGCCCAGGATGACATTACAGGAGATGGTACTACTTCAAATGTTCTAATTATTGGGGAGTTACTAAAACAAGCTGATCGTTACATTTCTGAGGTATTATAATTTCATAGAATTCACATTCATGGGGTACTTTATTTTGAATGGAAACTTGGGTTTGTTTTTACATTAGTAAAATGGTTTAATTTTAGAGGGCTAAGGTTAATATAGGATGTCCTCCCAAAATGTATAGACACTTTAACAGATGATAGCTTTAAATAAAAAATGAAACGGATTTTAAGAAACACTGCCTTTATAATTATATTCAAATTGTGTATACATTTTTTTGGGACACCCTGTATTTATGAAGATATATTTAATTATAAATGAAAATAATGAACTTTTTTCCCCAAAACAAGGCTTTTTATTGGATTTATATATATATTTTTTAAATGAAAAATTTAAGATATTTAAAAAAGGTAAAATATTAGCCATGTACCCATGACTAATGCGCAAAGAAAGGAAACATCTCTGATAAAGTTGAAACCAAATTGTTGTTTTAAAAAATAACTGGAGAAAATTATTTTTACAATTAAATTTATTGAGGTGACATTGGTTATTACATTATATGTTTCAAACATACAATTCTATAGCACATCATCTGTCTGTTGCATTGTGTGCTCACCTCCCAAAGTCTCGTCTCCTTCTGTCACCATATATTTGGCCTCCCTCCTCCCCTTACCCTCTTCAGCCAATCTCCACCCCCCCTTCCCCTCTGGTAACCACTATACTGTTGTCTGTGTCTATGAGTTTGTTTTGTTTGTTGCTTTCTGTTTTATATCCCACATATGAGTGAAATTATATGCTTCTTGTCCTCTTCTGTCTGACTTATTTTGCTTATTTAGCATGATACTCTCAAGATCCATCCATGTTGTTGCAAATAGCAGTATTTTGTCCTTTCTTATGACTAAGTAGTATTCCACTGTATATATGTGCCACATCTTCTTTATCCAGTTATCCATCGAAGGACACTTAGGTTTTCATGTGAATAATGCTGCAGTAAACATAGGGGTACATATATCTTTATGAATAAATGTTTTCAATTTTTTTGGGTAGATACACAGAAGAGGAATTGCTGGGTCATATGGTAGATCTGTTCTTAATTTTTTGAGGAACCTCCATATTGCTTTCCATAGTGGCTGTACCCATTTACATTCCCACCAGCAGTGAACGAGGGTTCCTTTTTCTCCACATCTTCTCCAACATTTGTTATTTCTTATCTTATTGATAATAAACATTCTCATAGGTCTGAGGTAGTATCTCATTGTGATTTTGATTTCCATTTCCCTTATATCTAGAGAAGTTGAGCATCTTTTCATATATTTGTTGGCCATTTGTATGTCTTGGAAAAAGTGTCTGTTCAGGTCCTCTGCCCATTTTTAATTGGGTAAAAAATTATCGGAGTATTCTTTGCAAATGTCTTCTCCCATTCAGTTGGTTGCCTTTTTGTTTTGTCGATGGTTTCTTTTCTGTGTAGAAGCTTTTTAGTTTGATGCAGTCCCATTTATTTATTTTTGCTTTTCCCTTGCCTTTGAGGTCAGGTTCATAAAAGCCTCTCTGAGACCAAGGCCTATTAAGTTTAGTACCTATGTTTTCTTCTATGTGTTTTATTGTTTCAGATCTTATATTTAAGTGTTTAATCCATTTTGAATTAATTTTTGTGTATGGTGTCAAATAGCAGTCTTGTTTCATTCTCTTGCATGTGACTTTCCAGTTTTCCCAACACCATTTATTGAAGAGGCTTTACTTTTGAAGAAAAATTATTGAAGTCTTCCACATTGTGAATATACCTACCTTTCTAGTTTTCCTTCCTTTTATAAACTGTCTACTCCAGTCAGACTCCTCCATTCACTAGCCTCTGAAATCATTACAGACATTTCTACCTCTGTGCCTTTGTTCAATCTGTATTCTTTTCTTGGCATTACTTATCTGTCTTCTCTAATTAAGTATTTGAATTTTCTTCTCTTTCAAGGACCATTTCAGCAAAGCATAACCTGGTCAAAATACTAAAATTATTACTTTTTTGTGTTTCATTTAGTATTGGGAATTATCTATTAATTCAGTACCTGCAACTTATAAGGATGCTTTTGGCTGTTAGCAGTAGAAACTTGACTAAAAATCACTTAAACAATAAAGAAATTATCTCCCATAGCAGAATAGAGAGAGATAAGGCAGGCTTCCAGAGCCAGTTGATTAAAAATTTCAGTCCATTATCAAGCACCCAGGTTCTTTCTGTCTCTTAGCCCTTCTACTTATAATGTTGTTTCATCATAAGGTTTATTTTCATCCTGACTGTAAGACTGTCAGAGGAAATCAGGCCTACCTGCTTCCCTTAGTAGCACTCAGTAGGAGAGGGCAAGAGAATACCATTCACCTAACTGTGGAATATAAGTCCTTCCTGTATGTGATTGGGCCAACTTTGGTCGTATGTCATCCCAAACCAGTAACAGTTTTTAGGGAATTGACCTAATCTAGTCAGGATCCATCCCTTGAACTAGGGATAGGGTCAGCTTCCTCTGAAGCACTGGAGGAAGAGGGATACCTAAACAGAATTAGGGTTGATTAGAGAGAATGAAGTTTGGGAAGGGGGAGATGCTGACAGGCATTAACATCATTATGGAACTGTGTGGCAGTACAGTGATAGAGCAAGGCACAGGATATAATGAACACTGAGGGAGAGATGTCCTAAACTAGCCTGAGGTAGTTAGGAAGCACTTTCTGGAGGAAATAAGGCCTGGTCTAAATCTTTAGGATGAGAAGGAGTGAGGCAGATAAAAGAGTGAGAGGTAAGGAGAATGGCATTTGAGGCAGAATTAACATGAGCAAAGGCACAAGAGAAGAGAAGCAACACAATATGTGTGTAGAGCTACAAGAAATTTGGTGTTGGTGGAGTTTAAAGTGCTGTGGACAGTAGTGAATAGGCTGGCGAAGTAGGTGGGAGCAAGGTCATTGAAGGCATATAGTATACTAACCAAGAAGAATACTATTCATATTAACGTACTAATGAGTGATATGGTCAGATTTACATTTTAAATATTTGATAGACAGTTTTAAGGGAGTCAAAAAATGAGGTTTTCAGAGTAGTCTGAGTGAGGAATTGTGAGGTGCTAGACAGGGAAAATGTTTTGAAAATGGTTATTAACAGCCTCTGGAGTCAGGCCTGTGAGTTTAAATCCTGACTCTACCCCTTATTTGCCTACTGATCTAAGGCAAACTACATTATTTCTTCAATTTCCTCATCTGTGAAACAGGAATAATAACTCCCGCTTCATAGTATCCAGAGGACTAAAATAATACATGTAAAGCTCTTTAGAATAGTGCCTGACACAGATGCTCAATAAATGTCAACTTCTAGAAATTGTTATAGGACTGATGTAAAGGAATGGAGGAAAGGGCTAAATTAGACCTAGTTCCAGCTTCAGTAAGTTTGTGTATTTTCAGAATAAACAATACTGTTCTTTAAAAAAATATTTTGTTATAATGTCAGACCTGTAAAAAAGTTGCAAGAATATTCCAAAGATTAACATTTGCCCTCTTTCAGATAAAAAATAAATATATGTGTGTTTATATATGTAATAATGTGCATAGTTTTTTTCTGAATGGTATAAGAGTAAGTTGCAGATATGATGATCTAAATACTTAAGTGTATATTTCTTAAAATCGGAATTCTCTTATATAACCCAGTATAGTCATCAAAAACAGGAAAATATTATTAACATTGACACATTGATACAAATTTTATTCAGATTTCACCACTTATCCCAATATAGCAGAAGAAAATCTAGATTCATGCATTACATTCAGCAGTCATGTCTCTTTAGTCTTCTTTAAGCTGAAATAGTTCCTGAATCATCATTTGTGTTTCATAATAGTGTTATTTTTAGAGTACAGGCCAGTTATTTTGTAGAAAGTCCCTCAATTTGGGTTGTCTGTTTCCTCAGATTAGACTCAGGTTATAAACTTTTGGCAGTAATACCATAGAAGTGCTGTAGTGTTCTTAATGCATCATATCATGAGGCACATGATGTCTTATTTGTCCCATTACTGTGATGTTAACTTTGAACATTTAATGAAGGTGGTATCTTGTCTGTCACTTTTTTCCAAACCAGTGCTGATTCTTTTCCTCTGCATTAAAAGTCTTCTTTTGTGCCCACTCAGAAAGACACCACATGAAAACAATCTGTCATAATTTTCAGAAGTAAAAAGGACTTTTGTAGTTTTTTGTACTGGACTTAGAATTTTTCTGTAAGTTTGAGATTGTTTTAAATGTGAAGCACGAAAAATTACTTTTATAAATTATATACATGCACTTACATTTAGTGGCATTGATGTAATATTACTTTTTGTAATATTTTTTACTGTTAATAGGAGAGGATGGTTACTTTTACTTTGGATGACTTACTTTATAATTTAGAGTTTTATGTTGTTTTAATAGGGCCTGCACCCTAGAATAATAGCTGAAGGATTTGAAGCTGCAAAGAAAAAAGCACTTGAAGTTTTGGAAGAAATTAAAATTAAAAAAGAGATGAAAAGAGACATCCTCTTAGATGTGGCTAGAACATCTCTACAAACTAAAGTTCATGCTGAACTGGCTGATGTGCTAATAGAGGTACGTGATTAATTTTTTACATTAAAAAAGAGTATAGTGTGACACATGGTGATATTTTTCTTTTTCCTATAAGGTAATCAACTATTGCATGTGGTTCTTTTGAATGTAAAATAAGATATGGAAGAGAAACATTTATAGACTTGCTTACTGACTAGATTTAATTGGTCAGAACAGTCTATATAATTTTTCCCCCCAAAGTATTACATTAAGCCCGGTCGGCATTGGCTCAGCGTTTGAGCATTAACCTATGATCCAGGAGATCTCGGTTTGATTTCTGGTCAGGGCACATGCCTGGGTTGTGGGCTCGATCCTCAACAGGGGGTGTGCAGGAGGCACCTGATCAGTGACTCTCTCTCATTATTGATGTTTCTATCTCTCCCTCTCCCTTTGTCGCTCTGAAATCAGTAAGAAAACATTAAAAAAAAAGTATCACATTAAGCCTTTTTTTAAGTTAACTTGAAAGTTGGGAGGTGCTAGGCTTCCTATGGCTCATCCCCTGTGGAAGCGACTGGGGTGATGTACTGGTCTCTTAGACCTGCAGGTCCTTATTTAGTACTTGAGGTGACACATGGGGAAGTTGTTTTGGCAGTGTGCTTTGTAGTTAAGGTTGCAACTTTTTTTAAAAAAAAAATCTTTATTGATTTCAGAGAGAGGAAAGGAGAGGGAGAGAGAGAGGTAGAAACATTAATGATGAGAGAGTCATTGGTCGTTTGTCTCCTGNCTTTATTGATTTCAGAGAGAGGAAAGGAGAGGGAGAGAGAGAGGTAGAAACATTAATGATGAGAGAGTCATTGGTCGTCTGTCTCCTGCACTCCCTGGACTGGGGATCGAGCCCGCAACCAGGGCATGTGCCCTGACCGGGAATCGAACCCCCGATCGCCTGGATCCTAGGTCGACCGACGCTCAACCACTGAGCCACGCCTGGCCAGGCAAGGTTGCAACTTTAATGAAGCATGATTGATGTGATAATGCATCTGGGAAATGCATAATTTGTTTTGATTACTTCTAAAGGTAGAATGTATGTAATATAAGGACAAGATTAGGTATTTTGGGAAGCCTTTTATTGGGGCTGTAGTTTGGTGATGTCATTGCTCCTTAGTGTTGCAATTTCTGAAATTTAAATATATTAATGTATCAGGAATGATAAGTTCATAACTAAATTTACAAGACATTGACTTATAAGTCAGAGTGCTATCATACTAACTTACTTTGAGAAATATAAATCCCAAATGGACTGGAACACTTGAGTTGTTTCTGGTCAATTCTCCTTACCAACAGGAAAACCTAGTTGGGATATCAGAGAATTTCTTACTGGGCAGAGTCCAAATAAACACTCTGCTGTATTTTCTTTCTTTCTTCTTCTTCTTCTTTTTAAAATATATCTTTATTGATTTTAGAGAGAGGAAGGGAGAGGGAGAGAGTGAGAAAGCAAGAGAGCAAAACATCAATGATGACAGTCATTGATCGGCTGCCTTCTGCACGCCCCTGACGGGATCGAACCCACAACCTGGGCATGTGTCTTGACCAGGAATTGAACCGTGATCTCCTGAATCCTAGGTCTATGCTCAGCTGCTGAGCCAATCCTGGCCAGGTTCTGCTGTATTTTCTGCTGTTGGAATACATATATCAAGTGGCTCAGGATCTTCATGCTCTCTGGTTAGGGCCTTCATTCCCTTTTGGAGTTATAGAAACACTGATACTCTCACTGTCCAGTATTTTTTGTCATTCCCAGTTAGGCTCCAAAACCAAATATTATGTTACATCAAATAATCTTTTCTAAGATATTTTGTGGGTTTTTTTGCTTTATTTATATTTTAGGATGGTTATACTGTAGCACTTTATTTCTATAGTCATTTTTATATTACTTTCTGAGCTAAGCAATAGGGTGTATTGGGCTATACTTTTCAAATTGCATATCCCTGGGGATATTTGGCAGAATAAATGAAACACATCTTTCTGGAGTGTCAATTTTACTTTACAATTTTTAGGGAAGAGCATTATTTTCATATTAAAACAAACGTGTATGTATAATGGCATGACATGGAGAGTTTTCATGATAAAACATAAGACTTAAAAATTTCATACTGTTTTAGCCAGCAAATTTGAGCTCTACTCTTATGTTAGATTTCCTTTTTTTTTTTTTTTAAACATATATCTATTTATGTCAGAGAGAGGAAGGGGGGGAGAGAGAGA